AAACGATTATCATGAACAAGGAAATATAATAATAACTAATTTATTATTGCCTCTAGGGCATATTTCCAACAGCCCTGATGTCTCTACTACCGAAGAAAGCCGGGGCCGTGGATATCAAGGATTTCCGTCCGATTAGCCTTATCAGTGGGCCAGTAAAAATCTTTGACAAGATTCTGGCCATTAGACTTGCTAAGGACTTGCCAAAGCTTGTAGGGCCGCACCAAAGTGCTTTTGTCAAGGGCAGATCCCTCCATGATAATTTTATGCTTGTACAATGTATGGCCAGAAGATTGCATGCTCTCAAATCGCCGACAGTTATGCTGAAGCTGGATATCAACAAAGCATTCGACTTCATCAGCTGGCCCTTCCTGGTCGAGGTCCTAAGGCGTTCTGGCTTTGGTGAAAAATGGATAGCATGGATTTGTGGACTGCTAGCTACCTCCTCCACCCGGATCATGATCAATGGATGCCCTGGTAAACCTATACTTGCTTGTCAAGGCCTGCGGCAAGGTGACCCCGTCTCACCCATGATCTTCATTCTCTGCATGGAGCCGTTATTTGCACTATTCAAGCACGCCATGGAGTATGGGTTGTTGGCACCGCTGTCTCAAGCCAGATTGCAGCAGAGGGTATCCATGTTTGCGGATGATGTGATTGTGTTCTTCAAACCAAATGAGGTGGAAACTATCACTTGTTGAGCGATTCTTCAGCTCTTTGGGCAAGCTTCGGGCCTGGTGGTTAACATGAACAAGAGCTCGGCAGTGCCTATTCGTTGCTCCCAGGAAGAGATACAGTGGGTGTCGCATAGCCTTGGGTGCTCGACCTCGATGTTTCCCTGCAAGTATTTGGGCATTCCACTCACGATCAGAAAGGCTTCGGCAGCTCAACTCCAGGGACTGTTGGACCGTGTGGCCGATTGCCTCCCACTTTGGAAGGCGGCAATGCTGCCTAAGAGTGGCCGCTTGTTGCTCATACAATCCGTGCTGTGTGCCATTCCTATCCACACTATGATGGCTTTGGATCTTCCTGCAAGAACGCTGGCGGCGCTAGTCAAGATATGCAGGAATTTCCTTTGGTGCGGTAAGAAGGAGGCCAATGGCGGCAGCTGCTCGGTTGCCTGGGAGGAAGTTTGCACGCCCAAGTGGGCAGGTGGGCTAGGGTTACCAAATCTGCCTTGGTTTAACAAGGCCCTTCGGGCGCGCTGGGCCTGGCTGAGAAAAGCAGATAAGGAAAGACCTTGGACCGGCTTTCAGATTACTATACCAACGGAATCTCAGGCACTGGTGGATGCTGCTGCCCGGACGACAGTTGGTGATGGGAAAGCGACTCTGTTTTGGGAGGATAGATGGATCATGGGCGAGCGAGTTAGAGATATTGCATCGAGCATATACATTCGGGTCCCGAAGCGGGTGCGACAATCTGAATTGGTAGCGGATGCGTTGAGAGATGGCAGTTGGGCATGGCATGTTGGCACTGAACTGTCACCGGAGGCACTTGATCAATATCTCCTTCTGTGGACTTGTGTCTCATCCATTACACTCGATGACGATAGTCAAGACTCTGTGACCTGGACTTGGGAGAGCAATGGTTGTTTTTTGACTCGCTCAGCTTATGCGGCAAGGTTCTCCGGGCGGCAGGTTTCGCCAACTGCAGACTTCACCTGGCAATCCAAGGCACCGCTTAGGTGTCGTTTCTTCAGTTGGCTGGCCATAAAGGATAGATGTTGGACATCCGTGAGGCTTGCACGACATGGCCTGCCTCACCAAGCAGCCTGCCCCATGTGTGATCAACATCAAGAATCCATGCAGCACCTGATGTTAGAATGTAGCTTTGCAAATCAGATTTGGCTGGCGGTAGGCAGACTTGCCAACAAGGAGGTGGTTCAGCACAGGTATGGGGAATCGCTTGAGCAATGGTGCCTGCGGCAGGAGGATGTCTCGGCTAACCGGAAAGCGCACAGAGCGAAGTGTCTACTGGTCATGTGGACAATATGGAAGCATAGGATTGATGTGGTGTTTAATGGAGCAACGCCATCATTTCAACAAGCCATGCAACGGATTCATGAGGAAGGACAACTGTGGGCGAAGCAGGCCTCTTCAAGGAGGATAATATCGGGTTCGAGGTAGCTCAATTTGCGTGGGATGTCAGCGAGTAGTAGCCTTTGGTAGTCTTAGGGTAGGCGAAATTCCGCTTGTAAATAACTATGTAATGGTGGACATGGGTTTCGTACCCTTTCTTCTCTAATGAATGATACGCACACTCTCGTGCGTATTCGAGAAAAAAAAATGGGATGAGCAGAACACAAACGTTGTTTGCAACCAAACAATTGAAGTTTGTATCTCCTCACACTCTAAGCACAAAAACGGCAATCAAACAGTAGGGGGGTAAGTGCCCCTCCATGTGATGCAGGCAACCAAACAGGTTGCATCTGCTGCATATGAGGCTGCAGTTGAATAACCAGACTGGTTGAAGATGGACATGCAATGCAGTTACTGTTGCAAACTGGAACCAAACACGCCCTAGAAGAATACAACTCAAGATTTGTGCCGGTTCGCGGGCGGCGGGCCCTTGCCTTTGAGAGATTGGAAGTGTTGTGTTGTATCGATGAGATTTGGGTAAGATATTCACAAGGCACTAGAGTCTAGTCTAGAGTTGAATAGGGCATGAGCGCCAAGCAGTATTCACGGGCGTGACCAGCCAATCCATTGTACTGAACCCCGTTGAAGCAAATTGATGATTCGCTACCGTTTTCTGATGCCAGAGAACATGAGCGGAACATAGCACTGACTAAGCACTTTTGAAGGGATAGCAGCACAGAGCACGCTGTAGGTAGGAGTAAAAAGAGAGGTGATACGTACGTTTCAGGGGAGGATTTGGCCGCCGATCTGGAACGGAACACAATCAGGCCGGGCAACCCACAGGCACCTGAGAATGAATGAATGAATGATATCATGGTGCCAGCCAGGCTGCGGCTGCCCAGCGAGGAGACGACGCAGGGAAAGGGAATGCTGCGTTGGTTGTGATTGGTCGCGCACACACAGCCAGGCGTTGGCCATGGGGCCATTCAATCCATCCCTAACCTAACCTAAGCTTATCCCTTTTTCGACATACACCAGTATTTGTATGGTTTGATACTTGATTCGACTCGGTTCGGTTCGGTTTGCGTACGATGATGATAAAATGATGTTGATGGTGGTGGTGGCAGCGTTAGGCGGTGACAGCGTGTGGGGCCAGCTCACATGCAAGCAAAGCAAACCTCTGCTCTTGCTCTTTCTTCTTGTTCTTGTTGTTGACGTGTACTACCGTATAGCAGGCCCACCAGAAACCTTAAACCAAATAGCGATCCTTCTCCCGCCCGCAATCATCACCATTACCAACGGCAACATGTATGTATCGCCTGGTTTCGGCTCCTCTGATTCGCTTAGTAGTTTAGGTTAGTTTTTTTAGTCCTCATAGAAGAAGCGTCGGATGGATGGTGGCGCTTCTTATCCAAGTTTGTCTTTCGGGATCTAATCCGTTTTGAGTTTATTCAGTTGGACGTAGTCAATGGAGCACCGACGATAGATTTCTATCGTCTCCTTTGAGCGATGAGATTAGGATTTCTCGTCATGTAACGAGATTTGGTGTCAGGTGCTTCAGATCTTGCTAAGGAGTTTAACGACGACGACTGCGGCTCTAGGACGCTGGTCCTCAGGGGCACATGCGGGAAGAATTTTCGGGTGTCATCGACAAGGTTAAGCCGGCTGCGGTAGAGGAGTAGCGACAACAACGCGTCAACAGCTCGTTCTGACGCTAGTAGTGGATGTTCCGTGGTCTTAAAATCACGTAATTTTTATTATGTTGAGACACTTTGTATTCTTTTCAAAAGAAAAAAACAATAACTTTACTCGTTGGCGTGCTCACGTACATTCCGTAATGGACAAGTTGGACGGATGCATGATCCTGTGCAGGTTACGTACCGATGCAGCCAAGCGTATGAAGCCGTTAAACACTGGCAAGCACTGACATTACAGATGCTACTACTCCTACTTAATTGTGGTCAGGAATGAGGAGCTAGTCACTCACATGACAGGCGTCTCCCCGTGTTTCAAGGCTCAAATGGTGGGCTCCCTCAAACGCCTCCAAGGACTATAGCTATACTACTCCATTACTTAATGTCGTCATGATGAGAAGAAACCAACAAAACAGTCTGAAAGCAGCAGGTGTACCAGAACCAAAAAAAGAACAATACGTGATTAGTATCATGATTAGCCGGTCGGCGAAAATCAAAATAATTTATCTAATGGTTTATTTGCGCGGAAATACTCCTATACTACTCTAGTTGGATTACGGAGGAGAAAACAAAGGGCCATAGCTGCTGGCTTCGCTAGGTGTGGATTCCCACTAAGCGCGTCGGCGTCGTCGTCGTCGTCTCGTCGGAGTGGAATGGATGCTCTGCACGTTGCGACGGGGCCCCCACTACCATACCATACCATACCATGGAACACAACGCAGCACAAACAGCACAGCACAACGCAGCTATTTTCCTTTTTTTTCTACTAGGGAGCGCAGCTAGCTAGCATCGCTTTCTTTGTTATCGGTGATAATTTCTCCTCACCCTGATAATTTATTCCCTTCATTTTTTCGGTGAGCGCAAAAGAAAACACCGTTCGTTGATGGCTCGCCAAAAAAAAAAAGAATCGTAAAAAGAAAAAGCCAATTATACAACATTGGTCATCAATCATCAGAAAATGCGATCAAACGACCCGACGACGTTGTGGAAGGCAGCTCCTCTTCCAGCTGCCAGTTGATCCGTTGGCTGGAGCGTTGGTCCATCACGCGCACACGCAACCAACCAAAGCCATCCCGCGATCGCAGCCGTCCGGTCCAATCACCGCGCCATTATTCTATTCCCGCGCCGCGATTTGGCCTCTCCTGCTCCCCCATATGAACCCCACCCCCCTCAAACCCATGAGCATCCATCCACGCCGCAGCACACACACAGCCCGCCGCGGGCTACCATGCGTACACAGACGGCAATGGCGACCACCAAGACGCCCCTCCTCCTCTTCCTCGCGCTGCTCCTCGTCCCGCACCTCACCGCGGCCACGCCCGGCCACCAGCGCCGGCTGCTCCAGAGCCACGGCGCCGACGACGGCAGCGACGTCTTCGTCGACCCGTCCTACTCCTTCGCCAATCCGCGCCTCCGCGATGCCTACGTGGCGCTGCAGGCCTGGAAGCGCGCCATCCTCTCCGACCCGCGCAACCTCACCGGCTCCTGGTCGGGCCCCGACGTCTGCTCCTACTACGGCGTCTTCTGCGCGCCGTCCCAGGCGGACCATTACATCACCGTCGTCGCCGCCGTCGACCTCAACCACGCCGACCTCGCCGGCCACCTCCCGGAGGCGCTCGGCAGGCTCGCTGACCTCTCCGTCTTCCACGTCAACTCCAACCGCTTCTGCGGCCTCGTCCCGGCCTCCTTCCACGGGATGCACCTGCTCCACGAGCTCGACCTCAGCAACAACCGCTTCGTCGGCGCCTTTCCCGACGTCGTGCTCCGCCTGCCCAGCCTCAGGTACCTCGACCTCCGCTACAACGAGTTCGAGGGCCCCGTGCCCAAAGAGCTCTTCGACCTCCCGCTCGACGCCATCTTCATCAACTCCAACCGCTTCCGCTTCCAGATCCCCGACAACGTCGGCAACTCACCGGCGTCTGTCCTCGTGCTCGCCAACAACGACTTCGGCGGCTGCCTCCCGGCTTCCGTCGCCAACATGTCCGGCACGCTCAATGAGATCATACTCATGAACACCGGGCTAAAGTCGTGCGTCCCCCCGGAGCTCGGCATGCTCACCGCCCTCACCGTGCTCGACGTCAGCCACAACCAGCTCATGGGCGCCATCCCCGCCGAGCTCGCCAACCTCCACAGCATCGAGCAGCTCGACCTTGGTCACAACCGCCTCACCGGCGACGTGCCGGAGGGGATCTGCCACCTGCCGCATCTCCAGAACTTCACCTACTCCTACAACTACATCACCGGCGAGCCGCCGGTGTGCATGCACGTCAAGGCATTGGACGATCGCCGGAACTGCATCCCGAACCGCCCTGACCAGAGGTCAACCGAGCAGTGCCAATTCTTCAACAGCAACCATGTCAACTGCGACGCCTTCAGGTGCAAGAAGTTCGTGTTGCCGTCGCCGCCACCTCCTCCGCCTTCACCACCGCCACCAACCCCATCTCCTCCGCCACCTTCACCACCGCCGCCGTCGCCTCCTCCACCAACCCCGTCTCCTCCACCCCCGTCTCCATCACCCCCACCTCCGTACTACGAGGTCTCACCTGAGGAACGGTACCTTTCGCCGCCACCTCCAGCGTACCAAGAGCCGACAACGCCTCCCCACTACGAGGTGCCAGCTCCCTACTACGAGGTGTCACCGGAGGACCGGTACCACTCACCGCCACCCGCAGCTTACCAAGAGTCTCCACCTCCGCCCTACTACGAGGTGTCACCAGAGGACCGGTACCTATCACCGCCACCGCCAGAGTACGAAGAGCCGACAACACCGCCCCACTACGACCTACCAGCGCCGCCCAACTACGAGGTGTCACCGGAGGACCGGCACCTCTCGCCTCCACCACCGGCGACGTGGAAGATGCCGGCGTACGACTACTCGTCGCCGCCTCCACCGGCTGCCGGGCAGCCATGAAGTTGATTCTTTTCGGGATTTTTTTCCATACATTCTGATCATATACGAGTTTGCTGTGGTGAAACAATGCCGTTAATATCCTTGGTGTGTTCTTCTTCTTCTTCTTCATTCTTCTCTCCTCCCATTAATTTGTTCTTGTTTTTCATTGGTGAATGAAATACTCCTATAGAAGATCGATTCGATAATGAGAAGTTTCATCATTCGATTCCCTGTGGATTCAATGAAATTGTTGTCATCTTGCCGTTGCCAACAACTCGGCAACAACTAATCAATCACTTGACTGGAATAACAGCTAAGCAGAACAAGAATCTGAAGACTCCAAAATGAGTTTGAGCACGGCGGAGCCGTTGTACCATCTGAATAAGCTGCCAACGCATCACGTTCACGATGAGACGGTCCGTCGATTTGTGACGCGTTGCCTGGGAATGCGCACCTGCAGGTGGGCCCGCCCGACATGCGGAGCGCTAGCTGGATGGGACTTTTTCCACCGCCAGCTCAAGGTCAAGCAATCCTTGACGCTCAGCCGCTCAGCCTCTCTCTGCAAAAGGAAAAAAAATATGGCTCCTCAAAATGGATGCGCCTGTATAACTTAACCTTGCCTCTTGACTTTACCCACGTCTTGCGGGGACTCGCTAAACTATTGCATCCTGCGTCAACACCAACGTGCATGCGACTACTCCATGGTACCACTAACAAGTTTTTTTTTTTCTTTTTTGACGGGGGTACCAGTAACAAGTTGAATGTGTGCATTTTTTTTCGGGAATCATAGAGCTTTATTCAATCATTTCTAGCTCCAGCGCGATCAGCCATCAGGCTCGTCACGAGGAATCACATAGGTGCGCTGAGTTGTTGGCTTGTCTCATTACATATTGAACAACAAAACTAAGAAAAGTTGAGGCTAGCCCTTCAATTTCGAGAAGAATGGGCGCTATAACAGAGCGCGAAAATTGTCACGAGTTCCAGAGTTGTACCAACTCCAAGCAATCTACTTCAAACACCACTCGCGGAAAACCCCAAAGTTTACCGAAAATTACTCTGTCACGTAGAGCCAGAGCATCTGCAATGAGCGGATCCGTGACATTAAGGTGCGCCTTACTCCAGGCAGCAACAAAGGCGGAGGGTTCTTGCTAGACCCTCCGGTCCACTTTTGTTTTCAGTCAGCGAGACGCTTGCATCCGTGTTTATTTTTGTCCATTCTGGGTCAGGCGGTCTCCAACCATAACCAGGCAGAATCCTGGTATGTTCAACTGGGAGCTCTAGCAGCATTAGAGCTTCCTTGATTCGCTTCAAGGACTGGCTGAGATTCAGACTCTCTGTGTCATGTGTTATGTTGTTGTGTGAAGTCCATATTGCCCACATGACTGTGATGATCTTTGCCCGGTCTCCCTCATTGAAGCCGTATCACACATAATATCCTTGCACCATGTACTCGGATGTAGCTGTGGCAATTTGACATTGAGCCATTTCCTAGCTTCTGTCCAGAAGCTTTGAGCATGGGAGCATTTGATGAATGCATGCACCATGTCTTCGTCTGCACCCTTGCAAATTTTGCATCGGGCCATAGTAGCAATGTGTCTATGCCTTAGTGCAGATTCCACTGGCAGAATGCCGCAGAGGACTTGCCACCAGAAGACACGGACGTTGGGTAGCACTTTGAGCTTCCAAAGGCGAGTCCATAACCGTTTGTCATTCTCTGATGTTTCAGTGATCACCCCTTCATCTAGAGCTAAATGCTCGTTGTGAGTCATAAGAGCACGATACGCGGAGTTGAATGTGTGCATTGGACGTAGGGAAACGGCCACGGTTACCCTTGCCCCCCAAATCGCCCGTATATGTCGGGACACGGTTGTCCGCCGTCCAACACCGACTCCCATCGGTCTGCGGAGGGGAGGGTGGGGTGCACTGCGGGAGTCCAGACACGACTCAGGTAGGACTCTGACACCCCCGGCTCACCTAGAACCGAGGCAAAGCCCGCGCTTTTGTTACTGTCCGTGGCAAAAAAATCCTCCACACTCATCTTTCATCCCGCCGCTCTTCACCCAGTTCCCACCCTTTTTGCCGCCGCAGACGCATGGACCCGCATGAGAAACTGTCGGAGATGGCGGTGGTGGAGGATCCGGCGATCACGCTCGCTCGAAAGATCAACTAGGAGACACGACAAAATCGCCGCCTCAAAGTGAAGGTAAAGGCTGCGCCACTCAAGAAGCAGCAGGCCGGCGGAGGCGGAGGTAGAGGTCGTGGTGGTGGACGAGGAGGCGATGGTCGTGGTGGAGGTGGCAGACGTAGGGCCCCGCTACCGTGGCCAACCATGCACATCGCCATGGCCGAATCATTACAAGGCTCCGTACTACTACGCCTCAAAGCAGCTCGGAACGCAGTCCCACACACTCACCGACGGGCAAGTGTCCTTCATCGTCAACGTCAACGCGACACCGTTACTGTTGGATGTTGGGTTCCGGCAGACCCTTAAGGTTCGAACTCTGGGGTGCGCACGAAGATCTCTTCCCTACCGATCTACGTCCGATCGTCTCGTGAGATCTAAGCTAAAAACGATGAACAACAAGAGGGACACAAGATTTATACTGGTCCGGGCCACCGTCGTGGTGTAATACCCTACTCAAGTGTGTGGTGTGGTGGATTGCCTCAGGGGCTGATGATGAACAGTACAAGGGAAGAACAGCCTCGCAAGAGGTGTTCTTGAGCTGGTACGATGAACTGCTTGGGTGAGTTCGATCGCCTCTCTCTCTAATGAGCACTCGATGAACCCCCCTTTCTCTGTGGTGGCTAGTCCTATTTATAGAGGCCCTGGTCCTCTTCCCAAATATTGAGCGGGAAGGGCGCCAACAACGGCCATTTCGAAAGGGAACATCTAGTACAAGTTATCCTGACTAAAGTTGGTCTTCGGCTGCCAAAAGTACTGGCGATGACGCCGTCTGGGGCTCCACGGTGACCTCCATCCTGCCGCTCTGCTGGTCTTGGTCTCGTTGCATTGAAACGACAACCTTTGCCTGATGCCTCGGTATTCCACGCCTTTGCTTGCCCCCTTTACACCAAAGAGGAAACAAGGACACTGCGCAGGCTGACGCCCGCCTGGTCTCAATCGTCATGGCTTGCGTCATGAGCACCTCGCGAGGTACCCTGCCTTGATCTCTCCGCCTCCTCGCGAGCCTGCCTAGCGAGGCCGTTCCTGAGGAAGCCTTGTGTCGTCCGCCCCGCGAGTCTTGGCCCCTCGCGAGGGTCTTAAGTCTTGTGCCGACAAAGATGGGCCGTACTGGGCCACCACTTGAGCCACGCCGCAGGCCGCAGGCAGGCAAGTCTACGGACCCTCGTTCCCAGAACGCAGACAGTAGCCCCCGGGCCGAAGGCGCGCTCAAACTTGGCTTAGCGGAGAAGCGAAGGGGCAAGTGCGAAGCACCGCAGGCCGCGGCCTTGGGCGCCGCGTGGCGGTTGATTGGACGTGGGTGTCTCTGCTTCCCCATGCCGTCTCGGTAACTGCTCGACTTGACAAGTCCCTGCATGCAGAAACGGGTCATCATGACCTACGATCATGGAGGCCGATGGTTGGCTTCCCCTGGCTATAAAGGCAGGAGAGCGCAAGCCTCCGTTGTATATCTTCCTCCTCGCTTCCTTCATTCTCCCCATCCCAGCTACTTGCTATCTCCCATGGCACCACCGAAGAGGTTCTCGGCCGCAGAGAAGGGAAAGGCTCATCGGGGAACTTCCGGCCGGCGCTCCTGGCGGCCTCTGGCTTCAAGCGGACGGTTGCTGCAGCAGGGCCTCCTGGGCTTCGCTGGAGATCTCCGTCGCCGGGAATGTGGTCCTGACCCAAGGCTGGCAAACATTTGCCCGCGCGCGTGGCCTCAGCCAGCGGTGTACCCTGCATTTTAAGTTTGATGGCGACGCCACCCTCTACGTGAGGGTGTTCGGAGAGGACGACCACCGCACTGGGTGCTGCCCCGAAGACGATGACGGCGGGCAGGTACTCAGCCTCGGCGACGGTCGGGATGAAGATGAAGGCAGGTGCATGGTCGACGGCGTTCGTGGCTCGCCAAGCTTCGGCGGCTCCCCCTCGGACAACAGCTCCTCCAGTTGTGGCCATGACCAGCCTCCGCGCCGTCACGCTTTCCTTGAGGGAGGTAGCGTGTCAGTCCGCCGTCGTGTCTCGGTGAAGCGCGAGGAGGAGTCTGACTGAGCTCCGGAGGCAGTACGAGCCCTCGCCGCGAGTTGGTGCCGAGCGAGCCATGCCTATTTTGTTTTTCTCCCTTCCTTGCGCAAAGAGAGAGTAGTGTAGGGCCCCGCCGGGGCGTGCTGGACTGTTGCCATTAACTATTATGCTGTTTCC